AAATAGCATGACAACAGCAGGCCTTTTAGCTAACTTTGAACAAAGCCTTGAATAGAATAATCCCCCCAAAAAATACTTTGTATCACTTTACAAATGTTTAATTTAAGAATTGATAATACAGGAGAAAAAAAAAAAAACACAAACACACACACACACACACTCATTAAGGGCCTGTTCACACGAGCTCTGGTGCATTCCAGCATGATTTCACTGCTAGAACGCATCCCGGCAGGCTTCCTGCATTCAGGGACGGGAGGGGGTGTGGTGGTACATTGAAGTCAATGGCACCGCAGCCACGCCCACCACAGTGCAATCGCCCGCACCGAAATGCGTGGCACATCAATGCCTGCATTCCGGTCCAGTTAGATCAGAAAAAATAGTGCATGCAGCATCTGTTGGGGTATGGCTGCGGTGCCATTGACTTCAATACACCACCCCGCCTCCTCCTGTCCCTGAACGTAGGAAGTTTGCTGGGATGCGCTCCAGTGCATTACAGCAGAGAATCGTGCTGGAACGCACCGGAGCTGGTGCGACAGGGCCCTAAGTCGCTCTGAGTACAGTATTGCCAACCGATATCCTGTTGATTGGACTATGAAGAAAAAACACCTTGATAGGTCATCAACTCTGCTCACTATGCTCCTTCAGCATTTTCACTGTAAGCATGTGTGACTGCAGCAAAGCCAGATTAGCTTCTACTCAGCCCCTCCCTGCCAATCTGAATGATGCTGCTATTAGGAGAGGACACAAAGTCTGATATCAAAACAGATTCAAGTATTATACTAGTTCTAGGTTAAAAAAAAAAAGAGCCACCGTCTCACTGCTTGCAGTTGCAAAAATGTCACATCACTTTATTTATAATGGAAGTTAGCGACAGTTTTTTTTCGTATAAAGATATCTTTGTGCACATTATAAAGTGGTCCCTCGCACTTATCTCCTGCAACAGTACATGGGTTACATTTCCACACTAAATAAGTGCTCACATTTGCAATACAATAGAGAAAAGTAGCAAACATTTGCCAGCTCTGGCACACCTTACAGACAACAACATCATAGCACCCTGTCTCATTACTCCTGTGGGCTGGTTCTTGGTAGGAGTTGTGCAAATATCAAAAAAAGTCTTTGATGAGTGGATGTCAGTCTTGAGGTGTAGGCATTCCAAGGCAGACTGCATTTGCATGCAGACTGCCCTTAGTAATACCCACACGTAATGCTAAGTCTCCATGATTAAAAAAATAAAACTGAAATCAATTAATATATACACACACACACACACACACACACACACAGACCAGGGACAAACTAGAAGGTTGGGAAGGTAAGGGATAGATTATGTCTGACATGGTACAGCAAAATAAATACTGTACCATGTGCAGAGTGCTATCTGACTTGCTGCATTTTGTAATGCATTCTATGAGAATCCCAAAGTGCACAATACGCAATTTCAGTAAGGCCTTGTTCACACAAAGCGCGTTCCAGGAGCAGAGAAGGGCAGTTACAGACCGGATCAAAACTGCATCCAATGTATTCCAATGGCATTTTGGGCTCTAGTTCACACCGCAGCGTTCAGAGCATGTAAAAAAAAAAAAAAAAAAAACTGCAGCAAGCCCTATTTTACCTGCTCTGGAACGCATGCAGACGCCCTGGAACGCACTGAAAACCCATTTTAAACAACTTTTTTTAACCAAAACAGCCCGGAACGCATCAGAAACGCGGCACAACCCACTGCACTGCGTGTGCAGAAACTCATGCAGATATGGTCTGCATTTGGTGTGAACAAGCCCTAAAGGAGAAGAGCCTGCAGAACCGTGCAATACTGTAGGTAAGGCTGGACTTCAGATTATATGCACAATTGTTTAATAAATACCCCTATTTTCAAAGCCCAACTGAACTTATAGTTTAAATCAGCTAAATAAATTCAGTGCGCAAAACAAGTGATAAAAGTCTTACAGTTTTATTTCTTTAGAAAGAAGCCACAGAGTACAAAAGCCTTGCTCTTTGTGTGGAAGCATTAGCTAATACAAATATCCTTGCACCCCTTGCAAATATCCTTGCAATAACCTTGCACCACTACTCTACTTTCTAAAGCAGTGGTCTCAAAGTACCGGCCCGCGGGCCAGTTGCGACCAGCAAGCCGGTACTATGTGGCCCTCAGCCCGCTCACAAGTCTGGTACACAGTCACGGACCGCGTACCAGACTTGCGGGAGCAGCTACACGGTCTGCATCTCTGTCGGATGCAGACTGCATAGCTGCTTCTGTGCCAGCACTCGGATCCTTTCAGCCGGCGTCTTCGCTAAACGCAGGCCGAAAGGATTGATTAGATTAGTAATGTCTGCAGCAGACATACTAATCGCCACTAGATAAACGGATCGGTGATCGTGGCGCCGCTCACAGCCTCCTCCCTGCAAAAAGGTAAGCCGGAGAGGGGGCTGTGTATTTAACTTACGGGTGGGCGTGCGGTGGGGGTAAGACTGGGAATTATATTGTTATATGTGGGGGGTGTTTGGGGGGACTGGGAATTTATATACATTTATTGTGAGCTGGGGAATAGGTAGCGGGTGCAATTGCACATGTGTGTTTTCATGTGTATGGGGGGTGTATTATTTTATGTGCAGGGATAGATTTGTTTTTTTTATGTGAATGTAGATTCACCTATTCAAGTTAATGATCAGGTGACAGAAGTTGCATATAAACTCTTGCACACCGCATGTAATTATATGTGATATTATTACATTCGTTTAGGAATCAATCAATCACTCTCCCTGGACACACTGATTGTGTATCCAGGGAGAGTGTTTTCTAACCGCATGTAATAATATCACATATAATTACATGCGGTGTGCAAGAGTTTATATGCAACTTCTGTCACCTGATCATTAACTTGAATAGGTGACAGCTGCCGCTTTTAAACGCCAGATTAGGGATTTCTGCTGCAGGAAAACGCCAGTTTCTGACGCAGGAATCCCTAATTGCACCTAAACCTACAGATATGAATGGGGCCTTATTGTGTGTGTATTGGGGTGCGTAGTACCATATGGCATATTAGTTACATTTTATTTTAAAAAGGAGAACTATGGGGTAAGTGCTTTTCCCCATAGTTCTCCTCAGGTTCACAGGAGGACATAAACTAGCGTCCTCCCATGACCCAAAGCTCAGTATAACGGGAGCTACAGCTCGTGGTATACTGAGACCGCCGATGCCGGGACGGACCCTGACATTACTGTCGAGATCCCCCCAGCTGCGTGAGCGACAGCTGCCTCTGCCTATCTAGAGGCAGAGCCAGCTGTACCCGCCCCCTCCCCCATTCGTTCCTCCAGTCAGCGCTGGAGGATCGGAAGGGGGGGGGGTCCCTGCAGGGAGACGTGACTGACAGTCACGGCCCTCTGCAGGGACAGGGTAGAGAAGTGAGCAAACGACGGTATGCGTTCGCTCACTTCTCGATCTATTGAGTCGATGTGTGACAGTTTCATTGTCACACGTCGGCTCGAACTATGAGGCTGAGTGAAAATCACTCACCTCATAGTTCTCCTTTAAAGTTTGAAATTTGGCGAGCAGCCCCCATGGGAGAAACAAATTTTGTTGAGTGGCCTTGATGGAATTGAGTTTGAGACCCGTCCTAAAGAGAGCAGCAGGAACTATCCTCACAATCAAGTATGAAAAACGCAGACAAATTGAATGTGCTGCGCTGTGGCACATTGAAGTTTGTGTAAAGCAATGGTATTACTGCAGAAGTCCAATGCCAACTATTCAGAGTTGAATTCTTACAGTCCCTAAACCGAGCTCCTACACCTCCGAGATACCAATGTTGATACAAAATTAGTCCCACTGCATCGGCCCACAGTTAATTATTCTTATATGCTGATTCAGTGGCTCCTGGCCAGTAACTCAAAATGTACCAAAGCCACAGGAGTAGCCATAAAAACAGGGCAATTGGCATTTAAAGAAGAAATGGCAGCCATGGCAGCCTGCACATTCTCTGTGCACAGGCTTCCTATAGGGCTCATTTACACCAAAATTGGACCTAAAACGCAAGTCAATGGAGGTTAGTTTACTTGCAATTTCATCCTCGGTTCACTTTTTTTTTGATGACCTTTATTTTAAAATCAACATGTCTTGAGTGGACAAACTTCTATGTATTTTTTTTTTTTTTAATCTTCCATTCCATTGTTTCCTTCCGTTTTTGAGATGTTCCTACTGTTTTCTTTTTCCAGTGCACTGCAACACAACAGAGCAGTGTCAACTGGTCCCACTGACACCATTTTTGGGGTTATCTTACATTGGCATTTGTTGACATCCATTGAAAAATGGATTGCAAGGAATCTGGTGTGAATAGGGCTTTCATCTCAGGCTAGGTTCAGACATGAGCACACACAGCAGCTGCTGCTCAGCCCCATTGATTTCAATTGGGTTAGATCAGCGCGGCAAATGCTATATTGGGCGGAATCGCGCCGGGAAACCGTGTGATCCGCCTGGCACAACTGGAGTGCCATTAGAAAATAAGCGCGATCGGCTGTACTGGGCGACTCCGTGACTGCCCGGCAATCCACGCGGTTTTGTGCACGATTTCCGCAAGTTCAGGAATCACCCAGGTGTGAACCTAGCCTTACTAATTTATTCTCTAACAAAAAGTTACAACTTTTCAGGAACATAGCCCCCACCACTGCTTACCAAATAATAATGGCTTTAAAACAAATTGTGTAAACACTACCTAGGACTCTTCTTCTGTTGCACAAATTAATGAATTTTAATGGAATCACACAGCTATTCAATATTACTATGCAAAACTTTAGTTACTCATTGCCAAGCAACAGATTTCTGGTAACAGGGCACCTCCCTCAGTTTACAGTTATTGCCAAGTTCTTGCATTCCAAAAAACATGACCTATTATTTAATAAAGCTTGAGAAAAACATGGCCATCATAAAACATCTACTGGTACATTAAAAATAAACAAGACCAAAACAAAAAACAATAGTGTGATGAATTTAAGCAGAAAACACTCACCATCTCCTGCAGGCAAGCCCCGTTCCTTATCCTCACATTTGTTGCATTCACTGAAGTAGAGCAGCAAAAATATATCCAAAAAGACCCAAACCAGAGAGGTGGCCAATACCACCTTAAAATAGGCAAATTTTTTCATAGCAAGAAAAAAATAAAATACAAAGATTCTACCCAAAAACGATGTTACCAAATAAGAAAACAAGAAACCAAGATTTGTGTGTCATCCGCCCTTCACAAACTGCAAGAAAAGAAGAAGAGAACATTAGGAAAGAGGCAAAAATGTAACCGTTCATATTAAAATAAATAAATCTGTCACATGTCAAGAACAGGAGACTGAAAAAAACAAAAACAGAAAAAAATAAATAAAAAAAAAAAAATCAGCTGTTAAAATGCAACATTTCTGACAGCCTGTATTTAAAATAGAACTCCAGTCGAACAAACACAGTCGTAATACACGTTTACACGTTAGCCGTTTTAAAAATGGCTAAAGCAGTAACATGTTGGGCTCCATTCACACCTTAGCTTGTGCAGTTTAGCGTGCGTGTAGGCTCCATAGCAAAGCTACTTAATCCTCCCCCCACCTCTCTAATATTCATTTTAAAATTGACAATTATTAACTCTGTATGCACACATTCATTTTTAGGGCTGAAACAACTAATTTAATCAATGAGAATCGTTGTCAACGATTCTCATTAGTTGGTCTGGATGCCCCGCTTCTCTCCTCTGGGAGTTTCATCAGTTCTGTGTCCCCTCCCATTCCCTCTGCTCCCAGCAGGGATGGGAGGGGACACAAACACCTGCAGCCGATGCCCAGCAGTGAGGAGAGCTCCCCCAAACCTCCACTGCCACCCTGCAGTTCTATCCTCCCTGCTGGAAGCCCGGTGAATGCTGGGCCCTATATCCCCCTGCAATCCCCGCTGCTCTACCCCACCTGCACAGGGCAGTGGGGATCAGAGGGGACACAGAGCCGATCCACCTGCCAGCACCCTGCAGGGAGGAGAGGGCAGTGACATGGCCAAGTCAAAAGTGGCGCGGTGTGGGAAGGAGAGCTGCGGGACGATCAGCAATGTTTAACATTTGCTGATCGTTCCTTGTAATAGTCAAACATAGCAGTGATCAGTATGTGTCCTCCATCTCTTTTTATTTCAAAAAGGAAAGTAATTTTTCGGTTTTGCCCTGAAATTCTGGTGCGGGAGGTGCATTGTGGGACCATTTACTTCAATGGCACCCCAAACGCACCTCCCGCCAGCACTGGAACGTGAGGTAACGCAATACCCTGCATTACAGTACAGTGCAATTGCAAAAAATTGTGCATGCAGTTTTATTCTGTGGTAAACTATGTTTGTAACAATGCATGTGTATTTTTTTTTTTTTTTTATCCGATTAAAAAAAAATTGTCCAACAATCAAACATAACAATTAGTTAATTGCAGCCCTATTAATTGTATCCAAATATATTTGACAAATGCTATGGTTATCTACATAAGCCATAATGTAGTCAAAGAAGCCCTATGCTTCTTAGGCCTCATAGCAGGTGTGTGATCTGCTAGGGCTATGATTTCCTTGTGGACAAATTCATAGGTGTGAATCTAAATCTAGCATCTAGGCATGCAGACGCTTCTGCTAACATTTGTGAAAGAATGGGTCACTCTCAGGAGCTCAGTGAATTCAAGGGTGGTACTGTGATAGGTTGCCAGCTGTGCAATAAGTCCATCCATGAAATTTCCTTGCTACTAAATATTCCACTGCCACTGGACTCTAGAGAATTGGAGACGTGTTCTCTGGAGTGATGAATCATGCTTCTCTGTCTGGCAATCCGATGGACCTGTCTGGGTTTGGTGGTTGCCAGGAGAACGGTACTTACCTGACTGCATTGTGCCAACTGTACAGTTTGGTGGATCATGGTGTGGGGTTGTTTTTCAGGGGTTGGGCTTGGTCCCTTAGTTCCAGTGAAGGGAAATCTTAAGGCATCAGCATACCAAGACATTTTCCTGCTCCCAACTTTGTGGGAACAGTTTGGGGATGGCCCCTTCCTGTTCCAATATGACTGCGCACCAGTGCACAAAGCAAGGTCCATAAAGACATGGATGAGCGAGTTTGGGGTGGAGGAACTTGACTGGCCTGCACAGAGTCCTGACCTCAACCCGATGGGACATCTTTGGGATGAATTAGAGCGGAGAGTGCGAGCCAGGCCTTCTCATCCGACATCAGTACCAGGCCTCACAAATACGCTTTTGGAAGAATGGTCAAACATTCCCATAGACACACTCCTAAACCTTGTGGACGCCTTCCCAGAAGAGTTGAAGCTGTTAGAGCTGCAGAGGGTGATATATAATTTTATCACACACACTTTGTTTCCAGAAAGCAATTATACTGGTAGTATTTTACAGATCAGTCATGGCCCTACAAAACTTATGCTAAAATCTTGTCAATTTTACAAACTAAAAATTGTTTGTTTGTACTGCAGACAGCAACAGGGAATTGCCTAGCAAGCATTAGCTAGTGGATGTGAATGTAAATTAAAAAAAGGAGGAATAGATGCTGTGCTGGACCTTTAGAAACAAATACATTGCTTTATGTAAACACGTTCATGTTAAGATCTGCCAACAAACAAAAGCCCAGCTTACCAAGTTATTGTTTACTGCAGGGTTGGACAAATCCCAGGAGCCAGGTAGCTCCTTAAAAATTACAGCAAGCACCTAACTTTTGATATTTCCCCTTTTTTTTGGTAATGAAGCTTGGGCTCTTTAAAAAAAACAAACCCTGCTGGCTCGTGGATTGGGCAGCCTGGCTCCTGAAAACCATATTAATTTGTCCCCCCACCCCCTGCTTTACCGACACCTAACTGCAGCACAAAGCCATGTTCTATTCATGTGTGAACTCCTTGTGACATCTAACGATCAACCTTTAACCATTAGTTTCAAGCAAACTACAAAAGTAATCTACCAAGCACTGTTGGCAAATACTCCTGTTAAACCCACCACCTACCATACCAATGACCCCTGTTCCACATATGTAAACCTCTGCTTTAACCCTGTAAAAGAGGAATTTGTGCCTAGATTCAATGCAGCTACACGAGCTGTATATCATTTCAGCTTGACGTTGGGGGCAGGGATACAAATGATCTTCAGGTTTCCTGTCTATAAAGTGCGATGGCCCTAGCAATTGAAGTCACATTTCACAGCTTGCCTGAGCTACATTCACTGATCTCTCAGCAATTTATACATTGTATACATGAATGTAGAAAGCTGTTTCAGGCATAAGAATGCCTTGGAATTGGTATTTTGGTAAAACAAAGCATACATTCCAGCTATGTTTAATATGCAGAGTTTGAGAGGTTTTTTTTGTTGTTTTTTTTTTTTTTTTTATCATCAAGGGACATTCTAAATTTTGACAAGAAGTGAAGAAAGCATCTAAAAATGTACGACAAGCGCAGTAAAATGTATTTTAGATGCATTTGCAATGCTTTCTCATTTACAACAAGTGAATTAAAACAGGAGTGGAATGTGCTTGAATAGAGAACACTACATTCATAAAAACCAATCGCAGCCTGAAAGCAGAAAAACCACCAGTGTGCCCTACCCCATCAGTTTCCATTGATAGAACAGAACGTTAAAGAGCTTGAAAATAGTGTTTCAAAGGCGATTTATAAATGCCCCATGTACACAGGAGCTTAAGCCGATAAGGGAACAGAAATATGCAAAGCTCTGTCATGACTGCACCACATCGACTAAAAGATCTGAAATTTGGCATGAATCAAGCACTGGTAAAAAAATATTCTGAATGAAAACTGAAATACTTTTATAAAGGCAGAAAGAAAATGAAAAAAGGGAAGTTTGTTTATTTCTAATATCCATTTTCTTGCTGCCCTAAAGAAAAATGTTTCTATAGGTCAACAATTCTGATTTTAAACAATACATCTCCACAAAACACAGCACAAGAACAAGTAGCCTTCCTTTTCATGCCTTCATTTTTAAAAGATACTTTGACAAGCATATTTACTGGTTGTTATTAAACATGATTCACAAGTTAAACCATCACTGTTGCTGCAACCATTGCTAACAGACGGAAGACAAAGTTCTTTACAGCACACAGGGCAACAAAAAGAGGAAACGATTATATCTTGCGAAACAAGGACTTCATTTCACAAAACACAGAGTATATGTTAAACCAGGTATTAATAGGTTTATTTCTGGAGAAATTAAAGTTATCTCAAGGAGAAAAAACAAAACTCTGGTAGTGGGGATACCTCCACAATGAGTTAACTGCTCATGTTGGTCTAGGGGTATTGTGTAAAGGAATTGTACTTTCCTTATCCCCACTCCCCCAGCATCCTCACGTACAATACAGGGCTATGGGCCCTGTATTAGACATGGTGAGGTCAACAGGCCTCCAACCGCCAGAACTTAGGGTGGGGTAGAAACTGCAGGTTTTGAAACCTGCGGGAAAGGGAATCAGGTAAGTAAATGTTCTTTACACAATACCCCTAGACATAAATGGGCAGTTAACCATTGCAATGCAGAGGAAGGCCCAGAGCAAGTGTATTTTTTTTTTCCCTCTGAAGATGCATTTTAATTCTGGGAAGCTAGTAACTACCAAAATGCATACATCAATCAGCACAACTAAAAGGCCTGCACCTAGAAAGGCACAAGGTGTACAGTTAGACCACCCTTTCTCAACCCCTGCTCAAACCAACTCATGCAGTGGGGGAACTGCCAATTGACGATGGCCCCAGAACCATGCAGGTACCATTAGTCGGGAGGTCACTCAGCCATAGCGCAAGGAACCCCTAGCAACATCTGGGAGGAACCCCTGGTAGGAAACCTAGGGCTGGAGGAACCCCTGGTAGGAAACCTGGGGGTGGAGGAACCCCTGGTAGGAAACCTGGGGGTGGAGGAACCCCTGGTAGGAAACCTGGGGGTGGAGGAACCCCTGGTAGGAAACCTGGGGGTGGAAGACCCTCTGTAGGAAACCTGGGGGTGGAGAAACACTGGTTGAGAATGGCCAAGTCAGACAAAGTGCACCAGGATTCAAAAGACATGTCTATGGTGCTCCATCTTCCAGCTGCAGAGAAAAAGAAGATATCTGTTCAGGCTTACATGCCCTAACCCAAGGCACGTCCCTATTCAAAGCAAATAATATGAATCTCAAAAGTTTACCAAAAATTCAATTATTACACCAGACCTTGGTAACGAATGGTTTAATGTTTGGAATT